GGATTTGGAACGGAGCTTCTTTTCCTGTGGGTTGGCATACTTCCATTTGGAAGGTGACATTTTATGTTTTTTCCTCTTCTTATCAGTACACCAGACCTTTTCACAGTATTCTTCTACTCTCTGGAAGTTGCTGTAACCAATCAGCTGCAAGAATTCCTTGTACCATGGTTTCATTCCCTGTGGGATACTGCTTTGGGCAGGACAGGGCATCTTGTGAGGCCCATCCTCCTCATAGTCTTTATTAAACATTTCCTCCACTCTCTCCTCTTCCACCACCTCCAGGGTGATTTTACGGACAGTATGAACAAAACTGTGCTCTACTGTCTGGCAAAAATAGATCCCGGCATCTGATTTGCGTACCCTGAGGAAAAGTAAACCCATCTCCATCTTAACCACTCTGTCATCTGTCTTCACCTGCAAGAACAAGAATGTAAATGGCAATTGAGTATTATGCTGTAGGGAGAACACCAATCTATCACCCTTTCCACTACCTATCTGGAGTTTTTCCTCTTCATTACCATACCATGAAATTTAAAAAGCCATATTATATATATGGCTTTTTAAATTTCATGGTATGGCAATATATATATAATATGTGTGTGTGTGTGTGTGTGTGTATTCATGTACACACACTCTAAATAATTAAATCACGTGGGGATGTGGAAGGATGTATCCTAAACTTATTGCATTGGACGCCACTTTATATCAGTGATCTTGAGGTCATCTCATATCAATAGATTAAAGAGCAAAGTGAGTGAGCTTTCTTCCTAATTAATTCAATCGTTAGAAAAGCAATCCATTTCAGTATAGCACTGTAATGAGAGTGAAATACAGACACCTCACATTTATTTTTTAACATCTGTTTTTCAACAAATACTGCAAATAACACTTGAATGGACAAAGCAAATAACAGGGATTCTTATGCCATCCAGACCATAATAATAACAAATGGTTCCAAAGGCTCTCTGTTTAAAGTCCTGGGTTTCTTTCATTGAGTATCCTTAGAGAAGAGGGAGGGAGGGAGGGAGGGAAGGAAGGAAGGAAGGAAGGAAGGAAGGAAGGAAGGAAGGAAGGAAGGAAGGAAGGAAGGCCAGCCCAGCCCCATCAATGAATTCAGTGAGCATTCATAACATTTCTACAAGGACGCCCATTAACAGGAATTAAAGAACAAACAAATGAAATCCAGATTCTACTGTAAAGGACCCTACAGTTTAATAAACATTGCTTTAAGAAACATTTAGGGCTCAAATATTTCTTTTTTATGTTTTTGATATAATAAATTATGAACATCATTTCTATAAATAAATAGTTATAATTCAGAATAAGAACAGCACAATAAGACCTTCAAGGAACAGCTCATATTTTGTCACCAATAATTGTACTACTGAATATATAATTTTATACGAGGCAGAGGTAGATTCAAATATTGGTACCACCACTTATTAAGTTTTTGATCCAAGGTATTTATGTATATTTTCTTCTAAGCTATTCTAGTAACTTGAAAGATTCTATGAAGATTAAGTAAACTAACACATGTGAGGATGATTTGCACACTATTATCCATGATTACCTCTACCTTTTCTATATACATTTTTTCTAGCTAAAGCAAAACTTAAATGTGCTTTGTTGCCTCAATCTTATATAATGATGGAAAATTCACAGTATACTTGGCAGTCTCCCTCTTTAAGAATACAAAAATAAAAGCAATATTCACCTTTGTCAATATAAAAGGAGTTGTAGAGGCAACAACTACAATCACTTGGCAGTAAAGACCACTAATGATGGTTTGATCTAGTGGTAGATCCTGGCAGAACTGCCAGCCTTGATCAGAACTACATAGCTGAAGGTTGCAATGTGATTACCCAGATGTGAAAAGTGCTCATTTATAATTGTGTAAAATAGCTTTCATAGTATGGTAATAAATTGTACTGCTAGAGCCATTAACTCAAGAACTTCTCCAAGGAGGAACAGGCTAACCCACACAAAATCATTTTCCATCTGTCCTACTGAACAGGTTGGCTGATATTACTCTCAGCACCTGCTGAGGTCAACAAACTCTTAAGTGAACCTTGTCACAATGCTCATTGTCACCACACCTCCAGACCAGGTCTTTGTGCAGCTCTCTTCCACTACGGACCATCTCTATAAATTCACCATAGGTTCTGTTGCAACCAGTGACCACAACCTGACACTGATCCTGCTCACTCATTTGATATGGATGGACTTGACCCCTTGAACGCCTTTTTTGTGTGCCTGTGTTAGATGTGCTATTACACTGTTCTGGCTCTCTATTGTATTCCTTCTTGGTTTATGCTGAAAATTTCCCATTCCTTGATGGTACAATTCTCCAGTCTTCACTGATCTCAAGTTTTATTTCTGTCCTTTAGATAATACCTCTATTTCATTGCTTTCACTATCTTCCCTAAGATGGTGAATCTTACATATAGATCAGCTCTTGTTTTTTTGTTTCTATTAATTAGAAAAAACAAACAAACAAAAGAAGACTTACATGATCCTTTACTACCTATAATTGCATGTTTTTCCATTTAGTCTGCCCCTCTCTACTTTCTAATTCCCAGAGTTCTGAAATAGGACCCCTACCCCCAACTGCTGATCATTTGTACTTCTCTCTCCCTATGTCCTCAAATCCAACTCATTACAGTTCTTATTAACATTTCTTCTCTGGTGACCCTGGAAAACACTCTTTCTTCTTCATTACTTTTGCAAAAGTGTTAGACTCTCATGACTACCTCTTGGACCTTGCTTTATAACAGACTCCCCCAAATATTCCTCCTCCCTGCTCCTACTGCACTGCTCAGCTTGCCTCTGTTTCAGATCTCTGCTCTTGCCTCTGCCTATAGGGACTTTCCTAAGACTGGTTTCTTCTCATCCTGAATGAATGAACCCTGTCTCATTTTATCAACCAGACTCTCTCACACCCCTGTAAAAGTGTCCTCTCTCCTTTACCACCATCATTTCTCCTGTTAACATTTACACACCTGAACATGCAACATTACATGCAGATATTTAACAACAGTACTTCAGTTAATTTTGTGGCATCTGTCCCTTTCTATCAATAAATGAGGCTCAACTTGAGAGCTCACTTTCTTTCCTTTGCTCCTGAACTTACTCAGTCTCTATTGCTTGTCCAAGTAGATGAGAATTACTCAGTTAACCAGACCTTGCCTTTCTATATCTAGACCCCAAACCACCTTTATGTAGTGCTTCTCAAACCAGAGTCAGTGGGATGGGCACTTTTCTGGAAATCAGTATTTATTATCATAATAATCAATATAAATTAAGAAAATATATTTGAAATCAAGGGATGATGTATTTATCATCAATTTTGCACCATTTTCAAAGCCTTCATGTTAACCAGATGCTAAGGAGAACAAAGACAGATTTAATATGTTAATGATACATTCCAGCCAAATGGAAATAAAACATAATTTCTGTGTTTTAACATATATAAAGTTATGAAGTCACCTGAATAAGGTGTTGAATACTGAGCCATAAGTACTACAGTGCTATAGCCATGAAGTTTTACACACACATACTCACACATGATAGTCTGTGTCCAAATTATGTTCATGGAGATAGTAATGTGTAGTTTGGTTTATTTTTTAAATTTGTCTTTATTCTACCTTTGAATAAAAGCCACAAACATAAGAGTGTATGTATTGTTTAATTCTTGTGAATATTTAATGGTAACAACCCCAGAAGACATTCTACTTTTAAGGATGGTTGAGAGGGCAGCCAGTGCATTACTAGAATAAAATCTTTCCTTTCATAATATCTTGTGCAATCACCCCTGGTATCAGTTCCCTACTTCCCTTATAGATCTTATTATTTCTTTCCTTTACTTAGTGAACACTTCTCTACTGTCTAGCTTTTAAAAATTCTCCTTCTAGCCTTAGTTAAATTTTTACTTCCTTTATAACTACTTTCCTTAGAGCTCAAAGAGATATTTCACTTCATTTTTTTAACTCAATTCCACACACATTTATAGTATACAAACTGTTATTCATAGTCCCTAAATTGTTTTTCTGTGAAACTTTCATCTCTTTAACCATATTAGAAATTTTTTAGGACAAAGTCTTATCTTCTTAATCCTCTGAGTTATTCCATAATGAGTAAAGTGCTCAGACATGTGAGAACACATTAATTGTTCACAGTCCATAAACACACAGGGCAATACTAAGAGCGTATCTGAAAGTCATTCATATCTTTTGGGTAAATCTAACAATAATTTGAAGAGGGAGAAAGCATTATTTCAGGAGCAGTCAGTAACTAAAGAAAGAGGGCTGTTTCACACATCTGTAGGAAAGTATGGAAGCTTGCTGTTATCTAAAAAAAAAAAAAATCTGCAAACAAGCTCAGTGAATAAAATCCCTAGTTGCCTCTCCACTGTATCTCCTGGAGTAAGAGTGAATGATATATGAGGAACATGAAAGTCATATAGTCCAGTTACTAGCATACAGCAAGCAGTTTATAGGAAAAAAAAACTACACTAGAAGTAAACATAAATCTTTGACCATTGGAACTAAGGATGTGGTTTTTTATTTTTTATTTTTTGAAGTCTGGTATAAAAAATGTCTTTTATAATCAGAAAGTCAAGCTTGAGAAACAATGCATTATATGCATGTAAACTCTAGACTGGCCCACATTCAAAGACTTGGGAGCATGACAATCACCATGGGAATCGTCCTACATTAATTATTTTCACATTAGAAATGGTGTATTTTTCAGAATTTCAGTCTCCCTTCCTGGCTACAGTGCATTTGTGTTATAAAGTGAGAAATAAGACCTATTTTAACTTTCAGTCTGGAGGACCATATATTGTGTAGGTTAAATCACCTTGAAAGTTAAATAGCTGAAAATAAAAAATAACTTAGAAATTTGCATTTGAAGTCCTCCCACGATTTGATCTCTCCACTTTAAGTTAACTTGGGTACCTTCAACATCAACTCTTGATTACAGAATTGTTTTCATACAGCTTGCTTCTTCTATGTCTGCAGACCAGATTTCCTTGGTCAAGAAGATGGTACATAATATATCATTTCTATCAAATTTTCTTATAGGCAATCTATATAAATACAGAATTTCTTAAAGTGGTTTTAATATTCTTAACTATAAAGATTGATTCAGTATGTTCTGTAATGTCAAATAAAAAAAAAGTAATTGAACAAAGAACTCTGCACATCTGGTAGCTGGTCAGGATGAAGCAGTGATTTTCATGTGGATCCACCATATGGTTCCATGCTTTCCATAGGAAAGGGACAGACACAGGCCAGGAATTGGTTTAATTCAGACTTTTTTTTTAAGAAATGAAATCAGTTTGGTCAAGAAATAAAATCCAGCAATTTATAAGTTTATTTCTTGTTTGCTTATCTGACCTCTCTTTAATATATACA